GTGGTGGTGGTGGAGAGCGGTGGCAGTGGCGGTGGCGGTGCAGTGACATACTAAGTTAGCGGAAGTGAAACAGCTAGAAGTGGAATAATGAAGATGCGGACACAATGCTGTCGGAAACAGAAAGTTTTCTCCCGAGTTGTCTCCCCCAAATATATTCAAAACTTAGCTGCTTGCTACACGGGGCAAATGACTATCCATTGGAGGTCACCAGAAGTAGGTCAGGGTCATTTTCCCTAAGAGTAATCAGCCATCCAGAGCAAGCAGACACCACTGTTTATCCCGCAACAAGTAGGGCCCACTTCCTTCTGATAAGGATAGTAGTAGATTGTTTCCCTGGAGAGCCCAGGGAGGTCAAGCCCACTCAAGGGTGACCAAGGTTAGGCCGCCATCATGAATCTAGGGTCTGCCCTTCTTGTCACATGTACACCTCTAGTTCCACCCTTTCCTATCACGTGTACACCCCTAGCTCATCCCCTTCCTGTTATGCCTATGCCCATTGTATATCCCCTTCCTAGTGCTTGTATTGCCTATTGTATAGCCCCTTCCTGTGACATGTGTGGTTACCTGTAATCACGCCCCCTAAGTAGATATAAGCCTTGGTTATTAATAAAGAAAGGCTCCTGCCGGCTCCCTCCAGCTCACTCCCTCTCTCTCCTGCCCTTTCGCCTGTGCTGTGTGCAGACCTGGCTGTTGAGATCATGGCCATCCAGGAGGGGAGCATGCTACCATGAAATGTGTCTGACTTCTTTATTTTACTTTCTCTCCTATCTCTCTCATTCTCTATGACTTTATTATAATCTTTATATATCTTACCCGTACAAATGCACCTATCAGACCCACGATTAGTTGTGGGGGGCTGGCCTTTCCCCCACACAATGCAAATGAAGAGTTTCACCAAGGTCACTGAACAGGAAGCGCAGAAAGTGTTGTGGGAGTGTGTTTTGATGTGTATACTCTCACCCCAAATAAAATAAGATGTTAAATTAAAAAGAAATGAGGCCATTAAGATAAAATTAATTTTGTCACAGATGGTGAAAGAAAAGGCCAAAATCTTAGACACAACGTAATCGCACACTTGCTAATAATATCTTATGAAAAATAAGGAAGGATTAGATTTTTATCATTTCAAGATCTTTATGTGGAATCGTTTTTTGGAGCAGGCTGTAACAATTCCTAACATTCTGTCAAGCGCAAGCACGGCACTCGGTGATCTTAATCGCATTGCCACAACAGCCACACTGACAAGGCGCCTGGCTGTGTCGGGGAAAGCGGCAGGACACCATGTGTGGGAGAAACATCTATCAATGGCCTGTCCCGGAGTAAAGGGGTCACTCGGGTCCTTTGGGAGGGCAGCAGGCAGGGTCTTCTCTGTCCTGTCATCCATACATTGAAGGGTTTTACTTTTTCCCATCAGCCACGAGGGAGGGAAAGGATTGGAATTGTCAGACTGGAGACCTACCAGGGGGCTCTGGTACTCCGGGCAGCCTGTGGGTCTGGATATTTGGTTCATTGGGTAAAGAAAGGAATGAGGACAAGACCAGTCATGATGACGGCTCTCACTCAGGAGCAAAAATACCCACTTGTATGTGATGCCAGTGCGCCCGATGGTTGCTTAAGATGAGCTGCGTTAACAAGGCTATATCGTATAGACACGCATATGGGGTATATTCATGGCTATGCCTCTGTAGATACTGCTCAGATGAAGCAGGACCCTGATCACACCACCTACACGGCTCTGGCAAAGACCAGTGCTGGTGACAGCACACCTCAACCACAGCCGCTGCTTTTCTGGGAGGTAAAGAAATCCTACTGGGACCAACATTTTCACCAACCTGTGGCATGACAATTCTTGAATTCCCTGGATTCCAGCCTGGTCCATTGTCAGGACGTGCCTAACTCTACGTCTACAGAGGGCCGCCGGGGCCACACTTACCGTGAGCGAGTAGATGGCAGGCTCCAGGTTTTCCAGCTCTCGTTCCAATGGAGAGAACTTCTGATACATCGGGCAGCTTTTGTCCCACAGAACCGGAGGTTTCAAAACATAACCACAGCCACCGTTGGCCTCAAACATGGCCGAACTTAAGTGTAAAGGGAGGTCTGCAAAGCATGAAACAAATAAAAGTAACCCGATACTTCTGGCCACTTTATTTATCTACGGGTCAACTTATAGAGGCAACATTCAAAAGATGCTTGTGATCACCAGGGATGGAGGGTGGGAGGGAGTGGGGAAGACGACTTATTGTTTAGGGGTCACTGAGCTTCTGTTAAGGGTGATGGAACGATGGACAAGGATAATGGTGATGGATGGGCAACGCAAGAGACATGATCAGCGTTACTGAATTGTATACGGAGAGACTGTTGAAATTGCAACGATTTTGTTACATATGTACAGTGAACCCTCGTTTATCGCGTTTAATCGGTTCTAGACCCTACCGTGATAAATGAAATTCCGCGAAGTAGGATTCCTTATTTGTAAATCAAGTATTTTCGTAGTTAGAGCATAGGGGACATGAAAAAACACCCTTTAGTCACCATTACACTCGTATTACCCAATTTATTAAATGAAAAAGGGAAAATACAGTAAAACATTTTGGACGTTACAATTATAATTTATTATTTATTATATTATTTATGGCATCATGCGTGTACAGTATGAGCCAATCAGTGGCAGTAATGACAGAGCATGCGCTGTTACGCAAAAACCGCGATAGAGTGAAGCCGCGGAAGTCGAAGCGCGAAGTGGCGAGGGTTCACTGTATTTGTCACAAAAGCGCGCACCCACGTACACACCTCAAGAGAACCTGACATCGATTTTTCCTACAACCTCGTGTGAAGAAGCACTAAGCACGAACTCCCTCCATTGCTGATTGTCTAGTGTGGGTTCCCAGTACCGCAGGTGCAACAAGAAACAAGAGACCTCTGTTTGCACGAAACTTAGAGTCCATGAGATATGCCCAACATGCCCGCTTCAAGCCAGGCTCCACCACTTAACAGTTTACTACCTTTATCTGCAAAATCTTGTGAAATATGTACATTTATACTCATTTCCATAAAGGAGGAATGGTATTTTCTGACCTCAAGCAGCAAGCCATATGGGCGACTGGGACCGATTCCAGCTCTGTGCAATGTAAGATCAGAATCTTAATTCTCATATGGATTGTAATAAGAGCAGTGAGAGCCCCCAGTAAAACGACTTACTAATACTGAAGGACAAAAAACCCCCAACTTCATTCTCCAAAAAAGAACAAGAGCCAGCCAGCAAAAGGTCACCTTTCTTTGATATCTTCGTTCCAACTCATAAATGCTAGTAGCTTTACCTTTTAAAAACTGTAGTTAAATATGAAAGCAAACAAAACAATCACCCTCACATATGACTCACATCATGCTGGCAATCCCTCAATCTTAAACTCTGGGAACCCTCACAAGAGCTTTTAGCCTACGTGGCCAAGTGTCACTTGGATCGACTGTCTGATGGAAAAGTGGAGAAGTGCTGTTTGTGAGCTGCCTCACACTCAAAGGCTTCCTGATGTCATAAGCCTGTGCAAAACATGCCCCCATGAGCAGACGGTTTATGAGACACACCTGACCGAGTTCCCTCAGGTCTCTTCCTGCCACGTGACAGTGAACTCTGCTACACGGAGGAACGAACACAAGAGAGCATGGGCAGACAGCCCCCACTTGGCTGCCGTGTCCGAAGTTCCCGTGTGTCCCTCTAACCATAGCTGAGGGATGGCATAACCTGGTCATCAGACACAGAGTACTGGGGAGAGGACTAAAGTAGATCGAAATGATACATCTGACTCGAACGGTTCAAACCTCGTCTCTCGATCTCCTTTCTGATACACATTGGGCTGGATCTGGTTTTCGATCTTTTCTATGGCTTTTTTCATACTGGGGCTTATCTCTGTTGTAGTTTGACCTTGTGGGTAGCCTTGACTCTTTGCTATGTGGTTTTCTATGTTTTTCCGGTATATGAAATCTGGGATGGGTGAATATATCCCAGACAACTGGAGTAAAGCCTCTTGAGGGGTATGGTGGGGGGTTAGAGGGAAGAAAATGTTTTGCATCTGATTTTGGTGGCAATTGTGCAACAATGCTTGATGTGATTGAACTATGGAATGGTATGATGTCTGGATTAGACCCCACTCCATTAAAAAAAAAATCATTTTACTGGGGCCTCCTACAACTCTTATCACAATCCATCCATCCATCCATTGTGTCAAGCACATTTGTACATTTGTTGCCATCATCATTCTCAAAACATTCGCTTTCTGCTTGATCCCTTAGTATCACCTCCTCATTTTCCCCCTCCCTCCCCGTCACCCCTTCCCCTCCCTCAGGAACTCTTGATAATTTATGTTATTATTATTTTGTCATATCTTACACTGTCTCCCTTCACCCACTCTTCTGCTGTCCATCCCCCAGGGAGGGGGTTATATGTAGATCCTTGTAATCAGTTCCCCCTTTCTACCCCACCTTCCCTCCACCCTTCCAGTATTGCCACTCTCACTACTGGTCCTGAAGGGATCATCTGTCCTGGATTCCCTGTGTTTCCAGTTCCTATCTGTACCAGTGTACATGCTCTGGTCTAGCCAGATTTGTAAGGTAGAATTAGGATCATGATAGTGGGGTGGGGGGTGGGGGGAGAGGAAGCATTTAAGAACTAGAGGAAACTTGTATACTTCATCGTTGCTACACTTCACTCTGACTGAGCCAGCTCCATTTTATGTAAATCAAATGAAATGATTTGGAAAATAAAAAAAACAAGCTTCGGTGCGTACGTACGTGGTTGTTGGCTTCGAGCCTGTGTGAGCATGCATGGGGAAAGATGTCTGAGACGTTTGAAAGCTCCTTGTATCTGTAAAACGGTTCACTGGGCCCCATCCAGCCCCTCCCAGCCCGGGCCGGGGAGGACAAGTGGTCTTACCTGCAGTGGGAGAGATCGCTCTCCCCGGGTGACTCCGTGACAAAGAATCCTAACCACAGGAAAGGATGGCTAAGAAGGAAGCAAACTGGCTCCCACTGGGTTAGTCCATGTAGAATGGGCATGTATTACTCTAATAACAGACAAACTAACCCTCAACCTCACTGCCAGCTGGTCCAGTCACACTCCCAGCGATCCTACAGAACCAGGGAGAGCTGTCCCGGTGGGTTTCTGAGATGGTCACCTGTATGGGAGTAAAAACTCCCCCTTTCTCCCTGTGTGCTTGCTCCTAGGGTGCTTCAAAACAGTCGTGGAAAAATGGTGTGAAAAGAGCATGGAATTTTCCCATAAACTTTCTGACACCCCGTTCATCACAGCAGTAATAATGTTATCGCAGGAATCATACTATCACGTTATGCTAGAATACTACTACCGCTCTCAGTAACAGTAGTAATGAAAAAGAAACAAATCAGATCGAATGAGAAGGGAAGGCAGCACCAAAAAGCCACAGGGGGCTGGGTGGGGAAGTAGCTGGCTAAGTTGGTGTGATGTGCAGGCACCCCTCTCGGCATTTCCTGGGTGTCCTGCCATAGCCCACGAGACGGGTCCTCTCAGCAACCTCCTTTGTATCGGTGGGAAGAACGGGGGCACAGAGAAGGAACATACCCCTGGCATACAGCTGGTGAGTGGTGGAAGCTATGATATGAACCCAGACAATCTGACCAATCACTTCCACCTGATGGACACCTCATAGGAGTGTCAGAGAGATACATGAGATGACGTGTGCAAGCCCCTCCCCCAGGGGCCGGCCCAGAGAGGTGCTGAATAAATCAGAGTGTTGGGGTGCAAATGGACTCCATGCTCAGCTGCTAACCTAAAGTTAGAGGCTTAAGTCTATCCAGAGGTGTCTTGGAAGAAAGGCCTGGGGTTCTCATTCTAAATTCTCTCTCTGAATAATCAGACACGGGAAACTCCATGGAACACAGTTCTACCGTAACAGTCAGTGGGTTGCCATGAGTCAAAATGGGCAGCTAATTGGCTCTTATGCCAGTATGATTTGATGTCAACACCCATTTAGCCTTGAACTCTGATTTTGTAAATACCATGTTCTAACCCAGAGTCTTCCCAAACTTTAAAGCACCGTTTCTTAATGAAAATCTCATTTGGTGACTGATTATAGAAAGTGACATCGTTGGGCCAAGGTCGCAGCTGGAAAGCGACCGTGGGCCCACCAGTGTCTGACAGTGATGACCCCGGGGCTTGTACACTGACTCACGATACCTAATATGGCTGTCCTCTGCTGGTCCCAGAGGACAGACTTTAAAGCTGGAAGGGACCCTTGAGATTAGCTCATGCTCCCCTCTAGCAATGCTCACAGCTAACCCTTTGTTCTCAGTGGGCTCCCTGTGGAGCCAGGCACACCCACCCAGAGGCAGCCTCAGGTCCCCCAAGGGCACTGTGGCTGGCACAGAAAGTGCTCAGCAGATTTTTGCCGAGTTAACAGATTGAATAGATCTCTCACTGGGTGGGGGTGTGGGAGGTGGGCGGGTGGGCAGACAACGAGGGTGTCTTGATCTTGATCACCCGGTCAGGTAGTGATGGCAGCACCAGAACTAGATGTCAGTCGATGCTGCTGGCACCGGCTACACCTGAATTTGTACAGAGCATGCCACTTCAGATGACCTTATTCGATCCTCGCAACAGACCATGTGACGATTATCATATGCCATCAGACCCCACGCCGTCAAGGAAACAGATTCACGGAAGCTGCTCAGTTTGCACAACAGGCCAATCTCCCTCCCCAGAGAAGCCGGGCTGGCTCTGGGAGAGGCAAAGCCTTGAGGGGTGAGCGGAGGCCACGGCGCAGCCTCAGTGTGTCAGGTCAGCTGTGCGGAGGCCTGAGGAGTGGCCCACGTCTCCTTCCGCTGTGCCTTCCTCTGCCATCTGGGGAGTCAGTGTGTCTGCACCAGGCTCCTTCTCAGGAGAAAGGGCACATCCCAAAGCAAATGCATTTCCAGTTCCTTCAGAAGCCCAGTTTTGCTGGTCATTTTCAGTTTACGTAAAATATTTTAGTATCGGAATCACCAAGGGCGCCAGTGGACACAAGGCTACAGACAGGCCCCAAAATGTGAACCAGCAAGCCACTTGGGGCAGGTTTGAAAAGAAATGGGAAGTACAGTTTTTACAACTTTGAAACGATCCCATTATTATTTCCACTTGCAAGTCCAAATCATACTGTTTTCATAACTTATCAAATACACTTCATGATAGTTACCATTTGTGGAATGCTTACTATGTGCCAGGCCTTTGGCTAAGCACAGTTCTTCATCTGCATAATCTTATTTTGTTTAAATAAATGGAATGAAGCAAACAAAACAAGGGTGAAAAATACGACGGCTATCTCTCTCCAGATATCTGTGGGGGCAGCCACAAATGGGTACGGTTTGGTACTGGGTAGCTAGCTGTCCCCAAAGCTAGCACTGTGGTTTGACCTTGGCTGGAGACAAGGCTGAGCTGTGGTTTTCTGGTTCAGCACGGAGAGTTAAGATCTGATTCAGTTTAGTCATGTGACACGGAAGATAAGAACTGTTCACCACGTACTTAATGAATCAGAGGAAAGACCGCCATGCCTGAGTGCATGCCAAAGAAGTCTTCCTGGTCTACCCATTTCCTTTTCTGTGTCTGTCGCTCCCTCTCCCAACAACCCAGGAAAACTCAGCTCTCACAATCCATGCTGTCAAGTGGATTGTGAATCATGGGGCCCTGTCTGTATTAGATCAGAATGGTGAGGATATAGTGGCTGACTTATTAGAAGTAGATCAAGAGGCCTGTCCTCCAAGGTGCCCCTGGGTGGACCGGACCCTCCAACCTTTTGGTGAGCAGCCAAGTTCCTTAATCCACAACTCCCATAATCCACTCCCGTAGTGCTTGTATTGATACAAGTCTTGCTGTGACCTGGGGCAAATCATTGTTTTATGCTTTGGTTTCCGTATCTGAGAAATGGAGATCCTAAAAGTACCCAGCCCTTAGGTTGTCGGGAAGATGAAACAAGGCAGCATGGGTCAGGCTGCAGCCTGGTGCCTGGCTCAGAGTGGGCACGCGGCAGCTGGTGCTCTTCCTTGGGTGCTGTGAGCCTCCTCGGTGATGCCTGTAATCAAAGTTCCATCCACAGCAGGGAATGACCAACACCATGTTCTCGGCTTGTGCCTTCGGATGCTTGTTTTCCTCCGGTTCGCAGCTCCGAGAGCACTGGCTATTCGTCTTCATCTCGATCTCAAAGAGACGAGAAGCACGCGTGGGGTTCACTGGCAAAGTGCTTGGAGGCACCACTCAGACTACTAGAACATGGGGGGTCAGGTTACTAAGGGATATTACGAAATCCCTACCCTAAAGTTCTCTGGAAGCAAACCGGACAACAGCTCTGTCAGGAAACTTGCAACTATGAGCTCGCAGGGACAACAGATACTTTAAGGGGGGCGGGGAGGGGGGGGTTCTGCTAAGGGCCATTTGGCTATTTATAACGTCATCCGAGGGCCACACAAAATTGTCAATTTAAAAATTAGCCTGTTATATCTGGTCAAACATTTAATTAATTCACCTGGAACGTGAAGGCTGGAACGTCTTCTCTTGGGTGAGATGTGTGATATTAGTTCCCCACCTGTGCTTTAAAGCACAGATGAGAAGCTTGGGAGATACTCAGACTAAGCTAATATGGGAGTGGACCTACCAGAACGGGAAGTGATGAGAGCACTGATACAGTGTGAAGCATCAAGTAATCAACGAACACCATGTGCAGAAACTGTGGAATGGAATTTGTCATATTACGATCGCCAAAGTAAACCTGAGATGTGCCAACCCCATGGGCAAGGAGATGGAGTCTGGGCTCCTACTGAACTCTAGCCCCAACCCAAGAACAGTTAGTTCTGACAACATGGCTCTGCTCGATACTCGCCTTCATGAAAGGAGCACTGAAGATAAGGGTGCTACAGCAAAGTGTGGTGAAGAAAACAGATGGTGCCCGGCTATTAAGCAGAATAGTGTCTGGGGGTCTTAAAAGCTGTATTCAACCAAGCAGCCATCTAAGTGAGGAGTCCACTAAGTCAACATGGAAGAAGCACACTGGCTTGTGTGATCTAAAGATGACAATTAAAAAATTCAAATATGGTGCAGGGAAAAGCATCAGAGCTAAAATTATTAATACTCAATTTGTAAAAGGCTCTGGAGGTCAGCAGGACCCTAAAACCTATCTGCAGAGAATCTATTCAGACGGAGCGACCCGCAGACCCACAGGCAAGAGTCTCGGACAGAGACCATTTGTGATTTTGAATATGCTGAATTGAACTTGACACTTGGTCAGATGACCTCCCTTTAGACCCAGCCTGAATTGGTAGTGGGTGCAAGTATCTCTTACTCATTCCACGACAGAAATGTCTTCCCTGGTTTTTGGAATGTTGATGAGGGTCTTTTCTTTCTTGCTCATTATTTGTATTTTGGTCTTTATATTATTATTGTCTTATCCTGACCATCTTATTTCAGTTTTGGTTTTCATTGTTTCTGCTAGGTTTCCCAGTTTGTGACCCACAGGAGTGGGTGCATAGTGACAATAATTGATCCAGGGGTTGACAGGGGATGCAGGGGTAGATGATAAGGAGGGAAAGGGGATTTCAGGAAGAAAAAATGAAAGTGGGGGGGGGGTGGTAGGGAGCACTAGAACTGACTGTGAATGCACAACTCATTCTAAAAGTGTTTCAACCATAGGGGAGGGATGTTCTAAAATTGATATGTAGTAATTGTACAATTCTCATTGCTATGATTGAATGATTGAATACTGAATTATATGATATGTAAACTATGTGCTAATGAAACTGTTAAAGAAAGAAAGTGTGGAATGGGAACCTGTCTGATTGTGTATACGTTCACTGAACATACAAAAAAAGTTTTATGTTCAAAATTGTCAAAAACTGTGTGTGTGTGTGGCAGGAGTAGGATGGGGTGTCAGGACCAGGAGAGCATTGGGCCCCTACAAAGCGCTTTTTTGCCACCTTCACTCTCAAATGTCAAGGCCACATTTCAGTACCAAATCCCCACCTGCGCTCTGTCGTCAGTACTTTGACACTCGCGTATGGCGCGCGCCTGACTGGAATCACACCCTTTTTAGAGAACAGTTGCTTATCGAATGACATTGCCGGAACTGGGAAACGCAAAGAGGGGTGGTCAGGGTGTCCCCTTACCGTCCGTCTGGTAGTTGAGGGCCACCAGCTGGATGCCGTGGAGCCAGAACATGAGGGGGTTGGGGTTGGAGGAGTCGATGCGCGTGGCGGCGGGGTAGGTCCGCAGCAGCTGGCAGGTGGTGTGCTGGATGAGCTTTTGAGAATACCTGCGACACAGACGCTTGGCGGCGTTCTCATTCAGCGACGAGATGTGGTAACACTTGGGAGTTCTAATGATGGCGCTGAGGGACGTGGTTGGGTTGAGAGGAGAAGAGTCTTCCCAGGCTTGACGCATCCCTTCGAAGGAACCTAAACGTCCGGAAAACTTGCCTTAGATTAGTGCGGAAAAGTTGAACTATTTTAGAAACATAAGCCGGGACAGTATCTGGGTAAATAAACTTAATACAGAAGAAACAAAAAACCCTCAATGTCATTGCTTTGTCTTCAGAAGAACTGCCTCTGTGGGTTTCCCAGACGGTACCTCCTTCTGGGAGTAGACAGCCTCATCTTTCTCCCGAGAGGCTGGTGGTTTTGAACTGCCAATGTGCTGGTGTGCAGCCCACCGTGTAACTCACTACGCCACCATGGCACAGAGCTTTCTGTGGTCAGCTCATTGCCCCTTGAATACACAATACTTTGGAACAACAACAAACCCACCCGCTTTGCAATGATTCTAACTCAAGCGGACCCCACAGGTGTTGGGGTAGAACTGTGCCCAACAGGGTTTTCAGGGGCTGTCATCTTCCAGGGAGGGTCTGTTCCTCTCAGGAAGAGATCGCCAGGCCTTTCCTCCAAGGAGTCCCGGGATAAATTCAAGCCGTCTGCCTTGCAGTTTGGGAACCTGGTGGTTACGAGCGGGCTTTCTCCTCCTACAAAGAGTTAGTCTTGCGTCGGACAGTGTAACTTATGCCAAAACTATAATAAGTTGTGAATTATGACAGGTTCAAGAGGAGGGGGGTGGGGCGGGAGGGGGAAAATGAGCAACTGATATTAAGGGCTGAGGTGGAGGGCAAATGTTTTGAGAATGATGAGGGCAGCGAATGTACATATGTGCTTGACACAATGGATGTATGTATGGATTGTGATGAGA